AGCTCAACAAGCTGGCTTCGAACGTTGCTCTGGGCCGCGACTTTGGAGGAGTGCACTTCCGGGCTGACAACGATGGAGGCATCTTGGCCGGGGAGGACTACGCGATCTCCTACCTGGCAGACAAGTTGAAGGCTTACGCGGAGGCAAGCATTTATAATTCATTTGAGGGGTGGACTCTACAGAAGTTCGACGGTTCCGTGGTCAAGATCACCGCATCAGGTGCACAAAAGCCGAGGCGATGGCAAAAGCCACTGCATCGTTTTTGGCGCAGATCTAGCTACTACGGATAAGAACCCGGAGCAAGGGTCCACTTTTGCCGCATGAAAATTTTTAGAACGAAGACCTCGTGCTGTATGGTTTGTAGTGGCATGTTTGGTGCCACGACTGAGGCGCATTAGCCACCGAGGTTAAAACCCCGGAAGTGCCCAACATAGCCGCACCCTGCTCTTGAGAGACTCAGACAGGAGGTTATGTTTTGCGGCATGTTTAGTGCCGCGACTGCGGTGCACCGGCTTCTGAGGGTACAGCCAAGGACAGGCGATGCGGTGTCGACAGAAATGATGTTGCTCTTGCTTGCACTCTCCTTGACCTGCGCACGTCCCGCGTGCTTCAATCTGGCTGCTGCCGTCCCTTGCACTCTCTTCATCTGACCTTAAAACTCGGAAGTTCAGAGTCCCGAGCCTAATATAGCGGCCTAAATAATTACCTACACTATTTTGGGGGTTCCTGATTTCAAGTATGGTATAACCAGAGCCCGGAATAAGCCCAAGAATCCTGCAGCCGCTTCAGGTCTGAAGCTCTACCGGGGCTACGCGCTGCGCTTCGGGGGTCGGGGGGCGGGGAGCCACGGAACACTTTAGAGTCCACGGTTTCTGCAAGGATGCTACAGACTTTGGGCACCATGAGTTGCCTCAGAAGTTTTGGGTTTTTATGACTGTCTCTCTTTGAAGATAGAAGTGTCGGGCCCGAGCAGGCCGCCTTGGAGGGCTTGATCCCTCGATTTTTACTTAGTTTGTGGTTGTTGCATCGACATTTCTTGCGTGCGCATGTAGATACAGAGGTAGATGATAATGTCATTTTACATATTTAGTTGGCAAGAGCATTTCGAGCAAGCAAGACTTCAACGTGTTCAAGGGGTGTATCAGGTAAGTATGTAGCTATGTATGTATATGTATATATGTATATGTATATGTATATGTATACGTATATGTATATGTATATGTGTATGCATGTATGTGTATGTATATGTATGCATGTATGCATACACACATATACATATACATATATGTATATATACATACACACATGTATATACTATGCATGTGAAAATATTATACACACATGTATCTAAATAACATTATATACATATATGTGTGTGTATGTACCTATATCGATACATCTATCTATTTATCTATCTATCTATCTATCTGGCTGGGCATGTATAAAAAACAGGAACGTGTCGACACACAAAGCACTATGATATTGATATTTGTTTCTTCCCGCAGAAACGCATGGACAAGGATAGAGCCACATGTAGATGTGTACAAGTAACCGAAACACATGTGAACAAATACTTTGAATAACAGAGCAGATAGATAGATCAACGGACACACAGACACACAGATGCATGCAGCCTGGCTCGAGAGAATAGGGTGAAGCATACGATGATTTACTATAGCCAACTTTTATATACTATATTGCCTGTCCAATCCGGGTTCATTGCCCAGGCCGTCTTTCTCGCATCCTTGCTCCTCTTCTTCGCGTCACAAGCCAGCATGGTACTGGTGGACAGGACCTGAGCTAAACCCTAAGTCCTAAACCGTTGTCAGGTGCTTAAAGTCAGACAAAGAGCCTGTGAAGTAAACATTCCAGGGGCAAGCCGGCTGGTCTCGCAAAGCACGAGTTCATGGCCCTAACCCCCCAGTAACCTACTATATAGGGTACTAGAGACCCTAAGGCCCTACATAGTAGGTACCTGGAGGGTTAGGGTGGTTCATGCTGAGCATGCACTGTCTCGTAAGAGGCTTGATCTCCTGTGCCGGTACCAAGGACTGCTGGCTGGCACGCTGGTCAGCACTTCCTGCTCAACTGCAAGGTAGCTTTTGCACTGTTCGATAGGTTGCGGGTGCCTTTTTGGAAGATGGTTTCAAGGCCCGGAGTGGGCCAGTGGATGTCGTTCGTGCTGGATCAGTCGTCCGGTGATTTCACACTTCTAATTGTTTGATGCAGGGTTTTCATTGCATTCACAAATCCAGTGAAGTCAGAAACTTGAGACAACCTTGTAAATTATCGTGACAATGGCACGATCCAAAGTTGTCCACGCACAAAAAAAGTTAAGTCTCTTAGTTCAAGGTAAGCACAAGCCGGCTTCGGGACGACTCAGCTGCTTCACTGGGGGGTCAAATTTAAATATCTGCTGTTTAACGCCTACCTTAAGAACCCAAAACCCACTTTTTTGTAGGTTCTTATTATAAACCTTAATTTTGGGTTCTTAAGGTAAGGCTTGCGATTAGAGTTGACGGGCTTGAATCTCTTGATGCATGAAAATCAGTTCGATAGGCCATATACCCGTATCAATCCGGCATGTCGGCAGGCCATGCGGACGGGGCCACCATCTCAAAGAATCTCGCAGTGTGCTGACCTCATGCACAGATTTTGGGAAGACTCTTAGCCTGTCTCGGACAATCGGCAGGAAGCTTGTGACTGTTGTAGCTCGCTCCAGTTGGAGCTTTGACACATGTTTGCTTTGGTGAAGCAGTGGCTGCAGTTTGGGTTTTCGGCAGAGCCAGAGTGGTTGCAAACCAGATAATAGAAGAATGCTGAAACCAGATGAACACCTATTAAATGCCTCGCCTTGCATGTTTTGCTAGCAAGGGATGAGCTGTCGATCAAAACGCTGTCTACTGGATCAGAGTCCTCTGCATCCTTTGGGACCCGTACGATGAGATGTCATCGGTTTGAGACTCTGGTTATCTCTGGTTGAAGATGGCTTCGACCTGCCTTGCATCCAACTTCCTCATTTAGAGAGTGTGCAAGAGGTTCTTCTTAACTCTGTTGTGGCGTCATGTGCGCGGCTTGTGGCTTCATGGCACGTACTGCTTATTGCACTTATGTAACCTTGTACTGGATACTCCAAGCCTCAAAACTCATGAAACTCACTGAAGCCTCCCAGGTTCATCCTCCTCGCGCTCTTAGCAGCAGGACTGGTTACCCTCCAGGCTCTCAGACTCAGCGCTGGAAGCTGGGAGGTTTCAAGCAGAAGTCACGGATCGCAGGGCCTGGGCATTTCTGGAGGCACACAAATCCGCAGGCAGATCAAGCCAGTAACAGGGCTCCACGCAAATCGACGAGCCGGCATCGACAAGAGGGAGGAGTGACTGCCAGTAGCTGCCACAGCAGGCCCATGGATATCTAACCTGGCGACGAACGTCGACCGCCCACACGCCCATACTGAGAGAGAAGATCCAGCACTAGTAGGCCGTTGTGCCACTGTTGTTCGTGTTGGAACTACTGCTATTCCTACTACTACTGCTACTGCTACTGCTACTGCTACGACCATCACTACGATCACAGGATGACGACGGTGATTACTACTGCAGTTAGGATTACTTCTGCTTCGGTTGCGGAGAACTTTGTGACCTGACTTATCGAGGCCGCCTCGTGGCCATTGCTATGCCTCCGAGCATCGGCACAGATGTGCCGCGGACGCTGCTTACACAGTAGGAAACGCTGTTGGGCTTGCGGCTCTGATCGTGGTAAAGCGGCGCAGAGAGTCAGAAGCCCCAGACCTACCTGCCAATCGAGAGTTGCGTCGTCTTTGGCAGGCATTCGGACGGTCTGTGGAAGGTTCTGAAGGCACCTTTGGCCGGGACTCCCAGATTGGAAAAAGGGCTGAATGATGATTTTTGGGGTATAGACTGCAAAACACGGACGGAACCTGCTCGCTTCAACACGCCAGAAGCATTCGCAGTGCCATCGGCAAATATCGACAGCTATACGAGAGAAGGCAGCGAGACTCATCGGCATTGCTACTTGCAAGATCATGCTTCCGGTGTTATACTGCACGTTGTTACGGTTATGGCTACTGGTAGCTACAATCATTGTTCTTGCTGATGGCTGCGAACTCCGTATATATATATATATATGCACAGACACTCAACTTATTATTTTGGTAGATATGTATATATACATACATATATATATATATGTAATTATTTCTTCGGTACTTTTTTGTTAATACGGACACTATTATTATGTAATAACTATGGTGTAATATACGTATTCATAATTGGCATAATCTCGTATAGCTGTATATCTACATTTAATTATATATAGAGTTGTGTATATATATATATATGTGTATATGCACAACTATATATATATATATAGATACATAGAACTATAACAACATATCTATATATATATAGATATAGATATAGATATAGATGTAGTTTATTACGTATATGTAGCTGTATATTTACACGTGTACAGTTATGTTTTGTTTTTAATATGTACATATGCATATGTACGCGACTCTTCAAACCATGAATCGAGGATCTGGCCATCGCCTCCGTGCCTGGCCAGCTGCTGTCCCGTTTCGCGAAGGACGGCATATACACGTGTATACATATGATATATTACATGCCACGTTTATGTATGTGTGTATATATATATATATATGTATATATACACATGTATATATATATATATATATATGTATAAACATATATGGGTATATACATAAATATATATATATATATACACACATACATATATATATATATACCCATACATCTGTCTGGCGAGAGGATCTGGACGTCCTTGACGCTCGCCTGCCGTCCCTTCTTGCACAGGCCGACTGCAGACATGTTGTGCACCTATCAGAGGCAGTACTTAGGAGTGGGAGCTCGTAGATTATCATTATCCTGCAGTACTGGTAAGCATGTTTCGTAGTTATGTCTCAGGCCCTGGCCTGTGTGGCGGCGCTCTTCTCTGCGCTGATGGCCATCCTTTTCAGTTCCCCGGGCCTGGCGCCCATGGCGGGGCTCTTGGCTTTGCTGATGTGGCGCCTGGCCGCAGCCTACAGCCCAGTGGCCGCCGAGTGTGCCAGGATGGTCTCTGTTTTAAACGGCCCTGTGGTCGCCCACTTGCTGGAGTGTTTGGAGGGCCGGGAGTACCTCAGAACCTTTGGCCAGCAGGGGAAAGCGGTGACCCATGCTCTCTGGGTCTTGGAAGCCAGTGCCAGGGCTCAGATCCTCAACATGGGCTTACAGCGATGGTTTGCCCTGCAGCTGGAGCTCATCGGCGGTGCCATGCTGCTCTGCGTCTCTGTGATGATCGTCTTGCAGACAGACGCACACCTGGGCATGTCCGGTCTCTCCCTCACATACGCGCAGGCCTCAGCACGAGCTGCAGCACTCAAGCTGTATGTCCATGCTTGCTCCGCCTTGTAGAGCCGGATGCTGGATGGGCGTACATACACCCAATTATAATGCCCTCAGATGCGCTGGCATTCCCCCGCACCTTCCGACACTTGCATGTTTGAGGCGTTGACATTGACAGCCCTCGCCACGGCCCTGGTGTGATTGTCCTGGTGCGGGTTGCGCGTGTGATCTGCAGAATTTACAGACACCGAGTCTATCAAGTGCCGAAACTGTCTGGTTTTTGTACGAGACGATTCGCGGCAGAGTGTGCCAGAGTATGCTATATATATATATATATGTATACACACACACACACACATGCATGCTTAGCTTGTATATACACGCTGCTGCTACAACTTTTGCTCCTGCTCCAGCGTCCGCCTCTGCTGCTTTTGCTACTGCTGCCTCTGCATACTGCTTCTGTTACTGCTCCGCTTCTGCTACTGCTCCTACTGCTGCTGCTACCACTACCACTGCCACTGCCACTACCACGACCACGACCCCTACCACTACCACTACGACTACGACTACTACTACTGCTAGAACTGCGCCGGCCACGACTACGACTACGATTGCTCCAACAACTACTACTACCACTACCACCACCACCACCACCACCACCACGACTACTACTACTACTACTTCTACTACTACTACTACTACTACTACTACTACTACAACTACTAGCACTTACTAGTACTACTTCTACGACTACTGCTACTACTACTACTACTACTACTACTACTACGACTGCTACTACTGCTACGACTACTACTACTACTACTACTACTACTACTACTACTACTACTACGAGGACTACGACTGCGACTGCGACTGCGACTGCGACTGCGACTGCGCCTGCGACTGCGACTGCGACTGCGACTGCGACTGCGACTGCGACTGCGACTGCGACCACCACTAGTACTACTACTACTACTACTACTACTACTCCTACTGCTACTGCCACCGCTACTGCTACTGCTACTACTACTGCCGCTGCTACTACTACTATTACTACTATTACTACTCTTACTACTACCACTACTACTGCTGCTACTGCTACTACTGCTGCTGCTGCTAACACTACTAATACGACTACTGCTACTCGTACTCCGACTCCTACTCCTAGTCATACTCCGACTGCCGCTGGAATCTGTCATGCGAAAGCGTTGGATGCGCGAAAGAAATTCAACATTCTTCCTACGTACAAGCTCTTGTCACCCAGATGCACGAAGGAAACCCTCTGCCCTCCATCTGAGAGGCCAAGTACCTGGTGAACTACAGCACCCGGGCTTCTGCGCAGATGGCCTCCGTAGAGAGACTTCTGGCTCTCTCCTCACTTCGCTCTGAGGAGGCCCGGAAGAAAGGGCTTAGGAGTTTAGGAAGGCTGAGGGTCCAGGGTTTTAGGGTCATGTATGGCTTTATGTTGCTTTATGGGCTCCTGCACTATAGTGACTCGAAGAGTGTCGCATTCCTGGGGCTTAGGTCTTATAAGGGAACAAGATGGCGGGGGCTACTGTGTAATTAAAGGACGGTAGGATATGCTGTTTATCAAGCAGTATCTGGGCGAAAGTTCGTGGACTCCTGGCGGATGAGCTGTTCGTAGATTTGAGAGGAGGCTTCATTTGTGTTTCTTTCCGGTTAGAGGTTGGGTGTCATGCTGATGCCAGACCTCTGATGTGTCACCGAATGTACCGTAGCCAGTGTGATGCGCAGCGATGCTGCACGGCAGGAGGTTCACAACAAGGCGCGCGGTGCTCACATAGGCAGTCAGCAGCAGAGTGCCATGAGTGTGCTGTGTTTTCCCAGGCAGCCCGATACTGAAGCGCAGCTTCAACACGTGGCTTAAGGGTAAAGTTGATCTGCTGAAGTCATTGCATGGCCTGATTTTGAGGACCATGCAGAGCCGGCCGAGCCACAAGTATATCTGATCCCGGTTCGGCCGGCCCCCCCCCCCTCCCCCCCCCAATGGTTCCTCCTCCCCCTCCCTGTGGTGTGGGGTGGTTGTGGGTTGCTTCCCCCTCCCTGCTGTGGTGGTGTCTTGTGGTTGGGGAG